ATTACTTATATATAATAAGTGTCACACCAGTAAGTAAGGCGTTTTTGTCAAAATTAAATATAAGCGAGAATTGACAAAAACAGTGAGCTAATAAAAACTGACTACCGTATGGAGTGACTCTTATTATAATCTCTAATCATAAAAACTGAACTTTTTCTAAATTAATTCTTTAATGTTTAAGACTTTATCGAAAAAAATTATTAGCATTAAGAGAGATAGAAAAATTTTTAATTTAAAAAAAGTTAATAAATTAAAGTTTAAAATTTTCTAAATTAAGTTAAAAATTATACATTTAAAATTATTAACTTGTAACTTTTTTAACTTTTAACTAATTACTACCCTGGAAATAGCTAAACAAAATTAGCATAGAAACATATTATACATGATAATAAATAAAAAAAAAATTATTTATTATATCAATGTATTATTCATCACAATCATCACGTATCCAGTTAAAGTCAAGTACTTCTTATTTCCCTTATTTGCATTTTTTGTAAAAATTTATCCATCTTCTCATGAAATACTTTCCGCGAAAAATTACATCAGACACAATTTCCAGAGAAATTTTCTTCATCCGGAAATAATTTTAGGAATAATTTCCAGAAATAAAATCTCAAGAAAATTTTCTACGGAATATTTTTTCTTCCAGGGGAATACCGTCCGCGGAAAAATTCTGTGAAAAATATTCATCCTCTCAGAAGACATTTTCCTCATATCGAACACTCAGTGTAATCCGAGATAGGAGAAAACATAATATTTCAACGGCGATAAGTATAATATGTTCCTGAAAGGAAGCGGGAGCAGTGTGTAGCAGCCACAATTTATAAGGCCCATTTTAACATAACATAAATTCGTATCAAACAAGTAGGACCTTACGAATCACGCCCTGAACACATTTCACCTTTTTTTAGGATTCTATCCTAATCGAAAGATCGCGGTTGGTGACGTCGTGTGACTATCGCTCGAGATATTCATTGGGATTCGCCGATGCGACGCCGCGACGCCGCATCGCGTTTGCGTCCGCACGAGACGCGCGAGACCGATAATTACTTGTGGCGCGACGTCGACACCACAGCCGCCAACGACTCGCAGTGATTACGATCTCAACCAGCTTGACTACTTTCAAAATCCCATGTGTTTTGTATACACAACCGCCGCAGGTCCGTGGATGTGACGGACGTCGTTGCGCAACGCAACGAGTGCGGAGAGCGCGGTGCACAACTGCACTTCTCGCGATAGTTGCGATGGATGTGACGCGACGATTCGCGACAGGAGGATATGCGCGTATATACGTTCGTATGCGTACATGCACGCGATCGATCACGATCGCTGCCGTTTACTTATGCCAAGCCGAAGGCGTGATTAAGTAAAAATGAAGATAATGAGGCTGAAATTAGTGGGTTTTAGCGTAGTTACATCGTTTTGATTAGGAAAACGAGTTCTGTAACTTGCAAAGGACAAAAGAAGTCATGCTGTGTATAGTTCCCAATCGAGGATAGCATGACTCGGCAATACGCATTGTGATAAAAAATTATTCGGTGTTGTAAGTTCGCATGGCTGCAATTTATGTGTACTTTTTTTTGTTTTTTTAATCGAATCTTTTTAAAGAAACGCCATGGATCTACATCATTTTGAGTGCAATTTTAATATATAATTAAATTTATTTATATTATAATATACAATATATATATATGTTCGACCATCATTCTGATTGTAAGATTTGTAAAAAAGGAGGACAGTGCAGAATTATTGGAAATACATCCGTCTGCTTCGCAGATGCAAATATAAACATCATAGCTACTTCGTTGGAGCCTTGAAAATAATCATTGCGCCGTCGCAATCCAGCAGTCATACTTACGTTAGCTGTATGGGTTGATATGATTGAATTGCGAATCTTATAGGAACTTTTTTCAATTATTAACGTAAGGGTAAACGTACAAGGTTTTACTCCATTCTATTCTGTTAAGACTTCTTTCTACAGATCTTCAGAATCATGATATCAGAAACAAGAAAACATGTAATGAATATTCTTGCAAAATATAATAAAATAGAAATATTTTTCAATAAAAAAATATTTTTATTTAAGAAGATTCGATTATTACTTTCGAGTAAAAAATGTGACTGAAATAAATTGTCATTACAACGATTTTAAATCATATGCAATATTACAATGAATTGTAGATACTATTTATGTGCTATATTTTTAGTAAATTATTAGTATATAGAATTAACAAATGTATGAGATTGTCAATGACTAGGGAGGTCGAGTGTATACTTGGCAACGTTGCACTTCGCGATGTGACTGGTTATGGTGAATGATAAGGAAGAAATTCAAAATCGGTATAAAGGCCGATTTTGTATTATTTTCATATCTGTTTCTTTACGTGAAGATGGATTTTAAGTTATATGAAGTAATAAGTTCGCTTCATATTGCTGTACACTGCAGCGTTGCCAAATCTGTTACTACTAATGCGATACGTGAGGTAAAGGTAAACTTTGACAATAAAATTTTAAATTCATTCGGTAAAGTCCGATTTTTCTTTTTTGTACAATTGTTGATATTTCATCTATCAAATTCTAGTTTTTCAAAGACCTAAGTTGGCCGAGTGTGTATATAAATCGATGATTATCTACGTCGGAACGATCACCTCTCATAAGACGATATGCTTAAAATGATCAATTTCAGAATAATATTACAAGAAAATTATACGGTCAATATTACTCAAATTGTGGGATTATTTGTGTACAGTATTTATTTCATATAAAAAAAATTAAGTTGGTTTTCGACTAACTTTCGAACCTCCTTAACAGGATAAGAAATAAATCAAAACTATTTCCCATTAAAACTAAACCCCTTTATTTCGGAAAAAAAATCATATTTATTCATTCGATAACTGTTCGTCTTCTGGTGTTAGGTATAATTCTATTTCAAATGTATATAGTTATATATTAATTATCGTAATATAAAGTTTTTGATATATTTTACAAATTTATTCTATTAATTTTACAAATTTTGTTTTATTAAAAAATATATTTTAATATAATCCGCAAGAATTTTCTTTTATATTTTTTTTGCTTCTGATGTTATAATCCAAGATGATTACAATAGGCAAGAACTTTAATTCAACTCGCAGCGTTAAATATCCTTGATCGGGTCAGCCTAAAAAATGTTCAAGAAAAAAATCCACTAAAACTGCAAATCCTCGAAAACTCGCATCGGTGAAATACGAGACAATATGACACTCGGCATGGCGCCATATACGGAAGAATTCATCATTATCTGTTGTTGACTCGGCACGATTCTTAAACTAATGACGAACGAGCAACTCTCACGCCTGCTTTCTTGCGAAAGATTTTCTTAAAGCAGGTTCCTCACGATTTAAATAGTTATTAACGTGTCGTTATGAATTATACTTATCCCATTTCATACATTCCTACTATATATCAGCTGTCTTTTATCATCGTACTGCTCTAGCGAAATCAAACATCATGCAAAATGATAATTTTTTGCTGAAAATAATAGAAGAATCTTTCAAATAAGAAAAATAAACCTATTTCAAAGCGGATAAGCTTAGTGCTTAAATGTTTCAAAGTGAATGTATTTAAATATGTATCAATTTTGCAAACCGCGTGGCTTTTTCCTAAAACGCAATCATGAACGGAACTAGAGTAGTAATATCAATTGACAATTTAATAATTTTGATGCTAATAAGCATCTTAGAAAGATATTCATTATTTGAATTTAAATATCTTTAGAAGAATTTTTACTCACCTCTGTTGGGTGCCGGTGGGGCCCTTTTTGGGGTGTCGTCGGCAGAGGGTGTTCTTTCCCTCATGCTTGCCCGTTGAACGCCTTAACATCATCATTTAGTTCTAAAACAAAAAAATAGAACAAAATCTGTCAATCAACAATGTTGCAGAAAGTGTTAGTTCTTCAGATCATTATTGTTATCATCTCTTTCATCATTATTGTTATAATGTCGAATAGATCTTCGAATAAAATCAATCGAGATTGTGGAATTAAAAAAACAACCGAGCCGATAAGTAAATGATACTTAATTTTCGGAAACGAGAAGAAAAAAAAGAAAAACTGAATTCAAAGTATGTTTAGTCTCTAATTTCTCTTTAATACTGTATTTTCTCTCATCTGATTATCAGAAGCATCTGTTTACTTTCCTATTTTTTCGCTCGTTAATAAACTACATAAATAGAATACGAGACAAAAAGTGACATGAGTAACTCGATTAACCCCATGGAAATTATAAATCAATCATTGTTGGCAAAATTCGCATTTTAATCGCTTAAGAAATCGTGGCCTCAAGGCATTAGCTTAGTCACGTGGAAGTTTCATACTTGCATGAATGCGAGGTCGAGATTTGGCAAAGATCGAGAAGAAAGAAGGTGGAGAAAAGAGAAAAAGTGGGAAGAAAGAAGAAAGAAGAAAGCAGAGAGAAAGGTGTTTGCCTTCGCCGAAAACCGAGTTTATATCGACATCGAGTATAACGCATCCCGCCTCATGGTCAGAAGAAAATCTTTTCAAGCAACAATAGAATGAAATAGAATAAAATCTTTTTTACATATTCAGTGTAAATATTTTTCCTGTAGAGTACGATATTGTAAAAAAAGAAAGAAAAAACCGTGTTACATCGTCTTATGTTCATTATCAAATGTATTATCCAAAGAAACAAGCTAAGTATTAAATTCTTAATTAAACATCTCATTATAATATCCACAGGTATTCATAAAGGTAGGTAATAATTACTTCTATAAAGTCTTTTCTTTTTGCAACTTTTAAGAGTTAAAAGCCTCGTAGACTTTTAAAGCAGTAACCTTGGACATCGCGTTACGTAATTTAAGAGGGAAATAGAAAAACACGACAATGCGTTACTTAAGGGTTGTGATAAAATTTTAATGATAGCAGGCCATACAATATTGTTTCTCGTACTCACTCCAATAATTTACTAAGACAAAAATATTTTTGATATTTGTAACTGTAATTATATGTTGCTATAATTATGATTATTACTGTTATAATGATAGTAATAAAAATGATAGTAATAATAACTATTTATATATGTATATATACACATAACCTTATACAGGGTGTTTGGAAAATAATAATAAATCTTTCGCATAGGGGTAGAATGGATTAAAGAGAAGTTCTCTATCATTTTCACAATAGATAACATATTAATAAGTTAAGATATTAATTGTTAAATATTGTCGAAAATTGGTCTTCAATAATTTTTTACTCAAATACTATCAACTTTACAGAAAAATTGCAAGAGAAAAAAATTGTTTATTTTCTTCTCATAGAATTCTACGAATTTTTAAAAAATTTTTTATGAACTTTTTAGTATTTTTTCATTTTTAACAACTTGAGAAAATATGGTATTAAAAAATTCTGAAAAAATTCTAAAAAAAATTCTTAGATCTCTATGAGGAGAAAATAAACAATTTTTGTCTCTTGTAATTTTTCTGTAAAGTTGATAGTATTTGAGTAAAAAATTATTAAAATCCAATTTTCGGCAATTTTTAGCAATTAATATCTTGTTAGCTATTGCAAAAATTGCAAAATGGTAAAACTTTTCTTCTCAGTTTAATCCATTCTGCCCCTATATGAAAGATTTATCATTATTTTCCAAACACTCTGTACATAAATGCGCGCGCGCATGTGTGTATTGTATATATAAATAAATCGGCAAATGCATGACTATAAATTATAATTAAATTATAGTAATTGCATTTCTATATTAATAATTATTATTACTTATATAGCAATAATAATTATAATTATAGTAACATGTATTATAATTATAAAAATAAAAAATTTTTTTCTCAATGTTCGGATAAAATAAGAAAAATAGAAAGTAGAGGAAATGTAATATAAGGAAATCTACCGGAGAATCCATGTGTGTGAATTTATAGAATTAAGTGATAATTTAAGTGAAAGGTGAAGCAATGTCGAAGAAATGGAAAAATAGTAGAAGCGGAAATGGTGACAGAGAGGAAAAGAGAGGAGAGGAGATCAGTCACGAGGAGAGCGCTTCGCTATCCTGAGTGGAACTTAAAATATCGAGCGTCACGCACATCGATGCTGGCGCCGGAAACTCGGGAAACACGATGTCGCGACACGGCGCGGCTCGCCACATCGGTTGGACTCTCGTCGTCATCGTTGTCGTCGAGAACCTGGAAATAGAACTTGGACGCCACTATGCGGGCATCGCCTTTATCGAACCCCATAGGAATCGGTTGGAATTTTCAGATAAAAAAATAAAAATTCCGATACACCAGTATCGGTATACAGCAGTCACTGGTACACGACATGAAATACCTCAACGATCTGAAAGCACCAGTGACGTCAATTTCGAGCATACACTGAAAGAAAAATGTTTGCTATTTGTAACGATAAATGCATAGTAAAATAATTATGGTTATTTTAATTATGACTATTTTTATGGTCATTATTACTAATGTCAATAATAATAACTTATATATATATATATATTAGACTGTCAAAACAAAAATTTTTTTTTATCGGCCACTTAGCTCAAAATCCATTCCATTTCATGCCAAAAAAAACACCTCTAAATTTTTATCAAAAACTATTATATTTAGAGGTGAACGATTTTTAAATCAAAGTTTCGATTTTTTTTAATGTTTAATTTGATGCAAAAATTGATTAATCCGGATTTCAAATGTGATACTATATATTTTTTTAATCGCTTTAAACACGATGCAATAGTTCATTTAACCCTACGATATATGCCTTCAGAAATAGCTCGAGATATAGCCGATATAGCCGATTAATGTGAAAAAAATGACCAAATTTTGAGATTAGGTTTTAGCAAAGTCTCAAGCATTCAAATTGTGTAATTTTTTTATATTAATCAGGCTGTATTTCTTAAGGTGTATATCATAGGGTTAAATGAATTATTATATCGTTCAACGATCAAAAAATATACAGTACTTTGAAATCCGAGTTAAGCCATTTTTGCATCAAATTTAAAAAAAAAAACATGTATTAAGGAAAATCGAAACTTTGATTTAAAAATCGTTCATTAGCAACCTCTAAATCTTAATATTTTTTATAAAAATTTAGGGGGGGTGTTCTTTTGGCATGAAATAGAAGCTTTTGAGCTAAGTGGCCGATTAAAAAAAATTTTTTTTTCCTAGGCAGTCTAATATATACAAGGTATCTGATAATTGTTCTGACAGAGTTCGTGGACATGTAGAGCGAACTAAACTGAGATGGAAAGTCCTCTATCATTTTGCAATTTTTGCAATAATTAACAAGATATTAATTGCTAAAAATTACCGAAAATTGAGTTTCAATAATTTTTTACTCAAATACTATCAACTTTACAGAAAAACTGCAAGAAACGAAAATTGTTAATTTTCTTCTCATAGAACTCTACAAATTTCAGAATTTTTTATCAACTTTTTAGTACTGCATTTTTAACAACATGAGAAAATACGGTATTAAAAAATTTTTTTAAAATTCTAAAAAAATTTTTAGAATTTTAGAACTCTACAAGAAGAAAATAAACAATTTTCGTGCAATTAAATTATACTGTTACAGTACACTGAGAGAAAAATGTTTGGAGTATTTGTAACATATTATTATAATTATAATTATGATTGTATTGGTTATTACTGCTATAACATTAGTAATAATAACTATATGCAGGGTTACTATAGAAAATAAATTTAAAAATTCCTTGATTTTTCCAGGTTTTCCAAATGAAAATAGAAAATTTTCCATGAGTAATATAAAATATGTAAATTTTAACATTTAGACTCACGGATTGGAGGAAAGTTAGTCTATATTATTAAAAACAACGCAAAAAAAAGCTTAGTAGCATAGTACAATTTTGGGTGCAAATTCAAGTCACAATAAAAAATAAATTAGTTTTGGAAAAAAAGAATGCAGTTGATTCTAAACGTCATATATAATTTTAAAAATTATAACAATTATTTGGAATAAGGACAGTTTCAGGGACAGTTTCAAGGAATTATGAGCAAATTTCGAATTCCAGACTTTTTTACATTTTCTCATGATTTTTCCCGGTTTTCCCGGTTTTCCAGGTCTGTGATAATCCTGATATATATAGTTTTAGCAATAAATATATATAAAAATTATTCAAATTATTATAATTTTATAGCCTCTTAAATCATTTTTATAGTAATTTTATTTTTACGGTTATAAACATAATTATAGTTATTTTGCCAACTGTATATTTGTTACTAGAGAATTATATATATGGTTATTATTACTAATATTATATATAGCAGTAAAAATCCTAATATTATATAATTATATAGTTACAAACATTTTTTTCAGTGTTATTAATAGCACACTAATTACCACGCTATATTTATTACTCTAATAATCTTCATTCAATTTTTTCACTCTTTGAATTTCGAGAATCCTACAATTTTGAATTCAACTAGAAATATTTGTTCCAAAAATAATTATAAATAATAGTTAAAATATGGTAACCATTTTTTTTCTATCAATGCAAAATCAGTATAATACCTAAGATAACCGCATGACGTGTCCTTGGCCGCAAGAGCTGAAGGATATGCAAGGCGAAGTTATTTCTCTTGTATTTCATTCTCGTTTCTGTATAATCAATATTTTGAGATATTTTTGAGATATCATATTATGCTGTTAATGTCATTGTACATAATAAAAATCGATGCTTTTCAGGAATTTGATATTTTCAGTATAAGTAAAGGATTAATATTTCAAGCAAGAATGGAGACAGCAGCGCATCCGTGCCTTCTAGTCTCCTATTGATATCTTTAAGATCTATAAATAGAATTATTACGCATGTGTGTGTGTGTGTGTGTGTGTGTGTGTGTGTGTG